TCTCTTCAAAGATGATGTTAGCACATTCCCATGTGAGTTATCTAGGACACTTTGTGCTGTAAGTGACAGCTGTCTTAACTGAGTATACAATCCCGTAGAGTACTTGCTACTGCAAGAGGTGAGCACTGAGTGATCACATTGCATTTGCCCTACTGAGGCACTGGAAGGCTGGGAAATGAGGAATTTTTTATTTAAAACAGGGATGAAAACCAGAATCAAAGCCAAATGTTAGGCTTCCACCCTCACCAAAGGCTCACTTTCTTCTGCTGGTGGAGAAGGGCTTAGCTGATATGTGCTAAAGTCAAAGCTCATCCCAGTCCTTTTTCCGCCCCTCTAACTTCTGAACAAGTAATTTCTTTCTTACATTTTTGTGGTAGGCAGTGGAGATTCTGCTGCTTTTCTGTCTGCAAAGCAGTGATGAGAATTCCCACCTTCCCAAGGCTTGCTGACAGCACAGATGTCAGTGTTATCTTAAGGAGGACTAAGTGATGCTTCAGCCCATGGGATAATTGAACTTTTATGGAGGTCAGGAAGGATTTTTTTGTGTATAAAGAATCCATTCCTTATGGAAGTCAGGAATTTTTTTTTTTTTTTTTTTTTAGTATAATGTTGTGTCCTTGGCCTCAGAAAATGGGAAATTAGAGACTGCCATCTTTTAGGGACAGCATATTTCATTCGTGATCCCTGGGAGGCACAGGAAAAGAGTATGTGTGTTTAAAACCAGAACCAGTGCAAGTTTTTGGTCTATAAGTAACTGGTTGTCTTTGTGCTTCATAATCTCTGAGTTGAGGAGTCTTCTCCCAGCTTGCTGACTGTGCCCTTTTCCCTAACCCTAGTGATTGCTGCCAGGCCTTTCACTGTACCCTACCTGACAGCTCTTCTCCCCTCTGAGCTGGAAATGCAGCAAATGGAAGAAACAGATTCATCTGAGCAAGATGACCAGACAGACACCGAGAACCTCCCCCTGCACATGAGCACGGTATGCTGAGCCTGAGAGATCAAGGTCTCTTGGGCCTGACTTTCTTAAACTTATGAAACCTGGTTCTTTGCCTGCCTTCCTCGCAGCTGGGCAGAGTGGGTGGAAAATGGCAGTGGGTTGTGTTTTACCAGGCATAAATGACTAAACATTGTCATGGTTCTTTAACTTTCTACAGAGTGCAATGCAAAATGAGGTTAGATCATGAGCTTTCAGCACAACCTTCGTTTCGGTGTTAGGGGAGAGGGGATTTTCCTAGGATCCCACACTGTTTCTGAAGGGGATCTTCCTGTGTTAGAAATCAGGAGTCCTCACCTTTAATACAGCTCCTTCTGTGCTGCTGTTTATCTTGGCTGTTGATTATCTGTTCTGCCCATAGGTTATGTGGTTTGAACTTCTAAGACTTGTTTAGCCTAACGTTGGTTGTTTATGCTTTTGTTTTGTCTTTTTTAATGTGGCAGGATGATTCAGGACCTGAAAAGGAGAATGCTTCAGTGTTACAGCAGAACACCTCCTTGTCAGGCAGTAGGAACGGGGAGGAAAATGTCATAGACAATCCCTACCTCCGTCCAGTGAAAAAGCCCAAGATCCGCAGAAAGAAGTGAGATCTACCCAGATGGCTGCTCAGAGGAAGAGAAACCCACCGCAGTGGAGGTGAACCCCCTGGGTGAGAGGCATGGAGCAAGACAGGAGAGGCAATCCATCTGAGTGGCAGAAGCAGAAAAATGATCTCTGTCTGTGTGAACTACGCTGTCATCCTGGTTTGCAATGCTCCCTCTTTCCCCTCTGCTCTTCTGCCAACTTGGAATGGTCAATGGTCAATTGCCTTAAAAGTGTTGAAGGTCACTGGGTTACAGACAGGAATTGTCTCGTTTGCTTTGGTTTGTTCTCACTGTCAGCAGGATTTACTCTCTGAAGAGACAGGGGACACAAAGGTGGTTGCTGCTCATTGCTTCCCAGCAGGTTCTGCAGAATACAAAGGCATAATTCGTTTGTGGCTGTCTGGCAGGCTAGAAAAGAAACTTCTGCAATCAACCCTGCCTGGCCTTATAATTTAAGGAGCATGTATTAACAGAGACAGAAAAATCCCAGAGAGGTTTCTTTCTTTGAATTCTTGGCAGGTAAAAGCAAACAGACTTTTCTTTTATAAACTAAAGGCATCTAATGTGTTGGTAAGAGAGTGAAGTGTAAATACAGAGCTAAGACAGCATTTTAGTCTCATTTTTTGACTGCAGCTGCACTTCTGACTTAAAAGTGCTAAGTGTGGTGTTTATCCTGTTCTGCTTTGAGGTTATTTTTTAGCAGTATGAATGGCAAGATTTAACAGCTGCTTCAGGCTATTTTTCAGTTCTATTGTTAGTTTCAACTCCTTTGAGAGTTCACGCCTTCACCAGCTGTTTTGAAAGATGCTGCTGAAAAACTTGGAATATAGAATAAAGCTGTATTGATTGCAGTCTGCAAGGCCACACTATTGATCGCACTTTTTTATTTTGTCCATTCTCAAATACAGGGTTCTATCAACAGAAGTTGCTCTTTTTTTTTCCCCCCCTTTATTTCCCCAGAGCAGAAGACTTTACTTCAGCAGTGAAAATGACTGGTGATGGGAGTATTGTAATTGTTAGCTGGTTCTGTAGGGCTTTGCTTTAATTTTCCTTCAGTATTTTCTTAGGCAAAATAGGGGTTACATTTATTTGACAAAAGACTCCTGTAGTTTGGTCCAGTCTCCCAAGCATCTCTTCTGGATGAAAATGTGGTGCCGGGAGAGGCAGAAAAGACTGTCTGCTACAGACTGCCAGGCAGGTTGTGGTTTCCTAGAGTAGTAGCTGAACGAAAGGAGTCTGTTGCAGTCACCGGGGAGATCAGAGTTATGTGTGTACATGTTCACCTCTGTTTAGTTAAGGCATCCTCCCAGGCCTCCCTTTTCCACTGTTGCCCAGGGAGGAGGAAGATAGAAAGGAGTAATTTTTCCAGTGAGGGCGGAGGTGTTCCTGCCAAACAGTTTGAAATGACATCTCTAGCAAAAAAGTCCTGTATGTGCCATTGTCACGTCTGCTGGTGCCTTGGTTTTACAGAATAAGAAATGTACAGAGACATGGTGTATGTATGTATATATAAAAAATTTTATCTTTTTTTACTTGGATTAAGCATTTTTTGTAATGAGAAAATCCCTCGCTGGGTAGGGGAAAAATGTAGAATGAAAATAGTAATTTTTATGTTCATAATAAAAGAAATTTTATCTCCTACAAGCAAAACTGGCTGAGTCCTTTAAGCTTCAGGAGTGGAAAAGCATCTGAATGGAGCCTGGATGTGTTTTCAGTGGTGTCTAGAAGCAGTAGGAAGTCTTATCCTTCATTCTGCATCTCTTCCTCTCTCCACAGCAACACTTGATAGCTGAGAAGGTTGGGAATTTTCCAAGAAGAACTTTGATTCATTAAAAATACGTTCAGTGAGGACAAAGTGCCTTCTGAAATACCATCACTTTTGGAAGAGCTTTAGTAGAAGGTTTCTCCAGTCAGAGGTGGAACATGCGGTTGAGAAGGACTGCAGAATCATAGCTACTGCTTACTTTCTTTTACATCTTCTCTTACATGTATATTTTTCTCTTGATTAGAAAACCATGACAGATGGAGGTGAAGTATGCCGTATCAGGCACGGATATGAAGGTGAAGCCCTAAACGGCCATAAACCCCAGGTCTTAGGACAGTAAAATTTCCAGTGAGTCATAGCTCCTCCTTCAAAAGATGCAGCAAAAGGGGCAACTGCAAATCGGCAAGTACATCCCTTTTTGACAGCTGCTACTACAAAGCAGTCTCTTGTGGTTGGGAGGGAAGGGGCCAATGTGCCTAGAAAAGACAGGTTGTGAGCATCTGTTGTCGTGCGTATGTGAGAGCACTTGAAGACTGAAAGTGGGAAATGGGAAGAATGCAGTTTGGTTTTATAGCTGAAATTGGGCTACAGGTGAAACTTGATACAGAAACAGCTAAACAGACCCAGAAAATTTGAAAGCCTGCATTGTGACTGGTAGTTATATCAAAAATAAATGTTGCCTGCTCTTAGTTCTCCCCTGAGATTGAATCAAGTTTGTGATCAGACAGATTAAGTCTGTGTGTGAGGGTTTGTAAACATTTATAGAAATCCCTAGGGTCTGAGTTGTACAGTGCGGAAACAACTGATGATGAATATCATCACCTTTCTGTTTCAGACTAAATTTATTTTCATGGCCAGGTTCTTAATTAGCATATTCCTTGCTCCCTGCTTGAGAATATTTTCCTCATGTCAGCATGGAAAAAAAGCTAGTAATGCAAATGTATGTCTTGCAGGCCATCTGCTCAAAGCTGTCCCAGCACAGCCCCTTTCCCTAGGATGCTTGCTGTGTGCTACTTTAATAGAGTTGCTGGCTGTGCACAAAGCCATTATACTCTCCCTGAACATACCTGAGGGCAGCAATGTAACGGTGGCTGTGCCACGTACACCCCATGTTTCTCAGCTCTCCTCGGGCTGTGGGTGAACCCCTCGGCCTGGCCGGGAGTGTCTGTTGGAGATGAGATGGGGGTGAGGAGGCGGGGGAAGGCAGGTGGCAGCTGAGGAGAAGATGGGGCCGTTTTGCTTCCAGTTCTGAGGAGATAAAGCAGCAGCCAAGCTGCCCTCCAGCGACATTAATCTGGCTCCTCTCCAGTGCCAGAGAGGGCTGGATTTTGGGGGAAAATGTCCCCTGTGTCGAGGGAAGCCACGTCAGGGAGAGCAGCGAGGTGTTTTCATGACGACTCAGGGAAAATGGCCGCCAGCCCTGCCGGAGCCAAGGGGCTGAGGGAAGTGGGGCAAAGGAGTGCTGTGTGCGGCACCCAAACACCCGCAGAGACAGCAGACATCTGCCGCAAAACCAGGTAAGCACAAGTAGTGGCAAGACATGCCTCTCTTTGAAATAGTTTTATTTGGAGAGGCTGGGCAGTGCAGATGAAGGTCTCCACAAGTGGGTGGGAAGCAGGGGTGAGGCCTGAGCAGCCCCACTGGAAGGGGCGGCAGCCCTGGCTCCTCAGCTGTAGTATAAACTCAGGTAGGCCACTCGGTCCCGGTGTTTCCTGAATTCTCTGTCTATGGTCATCTGAAAGACAACTACTGTCCGTTAGATATTAGCAATGACAACTGCTTCATAAAAGTGCAGGTTCCTAAAAGTGTTAGGAACCTTAACCTATGTTTTAAATCAGAAAGGTTTTCTTTTCAGCAGAGCTAGATGGGGAAGCCTGTGCTCTGGTTCTCTCTGGATGGAAACTTCCAAAGCAAATTTTTTAACAGAAGTTTTTTTTGAAGGACTGTAACTGTTTTTGCAAACCAGCATTTTCTGATAGAAAATCACTTTGTATCTTGTGTCCCAGGCTACCAGAGCCACATACCCATCAGGTCAATAAGGAAAGGATAACAAAACATAGTGCAAATGTGTTGAAGTAATCATATGATTTCCTTTGTCAAAAGCAAGAATAACATCCCCACATCGCTGTCCTTACCTTCTGTACCTCCATTTTTAGCATCCTCTTCACTGGCATTGGCACTAAAGACCAGTCTGGAGACCCAAACTTCATCGGCCAAGTGATTCTTTTGTGTAATTGCTTGCCTGGTTCGTAAGTTCCAGGTCTAAAGAAAACAGGCACAAAATATCCTCATTTCTGGAGCTGGTGTATGGTGTTTGTAACACTGGAATCTACCAGTATCTACCTACCTTGATCCATGGGAAAATGCATGTTGTGGTATTCTAGTGATCATGCTAAGTTAAAGACTAAAGGAGGGGAGCTTTTTGAAGATAAAAAAGCGTTACTGGGATCACGGTCACCTATCTCCCATCTGTGTCTTTGTATTTCTCTCTGCTAGTACTCCTGCTTATTACTAAAAGTGTAAGAAAATGAGTTGCATTACCCAGGGAAAAATTCTTTATCTGAAGGCTTATCTGGAAATCGTGGTGTCTTAGTGGAAAATGGAGCGTAGGCTGGCTGGCATTTTCTTTCTTTCTTCCAGAATGACTGGTATGTTGCTGGGCTGGGAGTCACAGTCTGCAAGAGATAAAATTTCAATACAGGAGATTTTGTTCTGCAAACCATTTCTACATGTTCTGATCAGCAGTAAGCTGGGCATTACAGACCTGCTGTTCAATGCATGCTTTGGCTACTCTGATAGTGTAAAAAACATCAGAACAAGTGAATTATGCAGTCCCTGCTGCTTCTTACCCAATGTGTCCTGTAATGTCTCTCCTAATACATTGTTATTCTAGAGAAGCTGGGCCAGAAAACATAGTGTGATTGTTCAGGTAGTATAGCTGAGCTCCCTCCCTAATTTTGCCTCAATATGTACATTTACATGTGTGTGTATGTGATAGAAAGGAATGTGTATATACAAATGCATGTGTTAATGTTGCCAGAGTTCATATGGTCAGTCATTGGTCTTTAGGCTCAACACCTCCCACTAGACTGTATATAAGGAGATCTGTAGCTACCCCTATGTATTATGTTGGAGGTAGCCCCAGCAAATGCGATCGAAGCTGATAGTCTACGTTGGGAACAGCCTACACATTCTTGCAAAACTGCAGCTCTGCCACTTTGAAGTGAGCCTTTCTTACCTGTGGCTCTGGTATGAAACGCTGGGCTGTTCTTGCTCCTATCACATAGCCTTTCTTGCTCAGTGGTTGTTTTTCCAAATAGTATTGGAGGCTGCCTCTCTGCGATTCAAAAGCAGAAGTGTCTTACTGACATTTTTAAGACACCATTTGCATCAGGGGAAGGACAGAAGTACATGAGCAGCAGACGTTATTCCTGTCAGTTCTACTTTCTCACTAATGTAGAGCACTAGGGCAGATGGAGCTTTGAGGGCTGGTACACTTGGAAGGGCAGGGGAATTTCTTTTTCTAGATATATGCAGAGACCTTGTACGATGGGCTTGTAGGGCAGGTGTGGGGGACTTCATGTCCAGCTGGCCATGGTTCTGTTGCTCTTATACTGTGTGTCTTCTGTGAAGGAAAATCTCTGAGAATGAAAACTGAAAAACTTACCTCATGACTCAGGTAACAGCCTGGCCCAAGCGAAGGGTCTCCCCTGATGGCTATCAGCTGGATTCCCAGCCTGTCTGAGGCATGGTGGAGAGGGAATACTTTCCGCTCCTGACATGACCCGAATGAAATCTGCTTCTGCACATCTGTGAGACCAGGAGAAGGAAATGCCAACAGTGGAGATGACCGTTTGCTGCTTTTCTTCCTCCTTAAGTCTCTGCTGCTCTCTGCCTGAGGCCAACCATCCCCTTATCTCCCAGAGGGATGCCTGTTCCCTCTTGTCACAAAGGCTCCTTTTTCCCCAGCCTGAACAGAGCAGCCTAGCAGCCCAGTTACGGGGAAGCTTGCTGGGGGAAACCTGATGCCACTGGGGAGCTTTATGAGAAGAGAAGCCCTCCAGCCCACAGTCCCCCCAGGCACACGCACCTCGCATGGCTCACCTCTCAGCTTCCACTCCACTGCCATGCTGTGCTGCCAGACCAGTCAGCATCTGTGTGTTCTCCGGTTGCTATAGACACGGAGGAGCGGGTGCTACAGGGAATGCTGGCAATGGCCATGCCTGAAGGGTTCAGGGAAAAGAGGGGGATTTATAATGTCCCTGTGGATTGCACCTTTCTGGCTCCCACCCTGAGGAGCTGCTGTTCCCAGACTGTAAGTCACTAGTGGAGAGGTCTCTGGGGAAGCAGTCTATAGGTTGTGCTGTCAGGACCCTTCCCTGTGATCTCTCTTATGGCACAGTCTGAGCTGCCCCGTTGTCTGCTCTCAGTCTTTTTCCCTGTGCCTGGCTGTCAGGGAAACCCCTGTTTCAGGGCAGCGAGAAACCCCTGGAAAATGCCATACTGGAATTAAGTCCAGTTTATGGATTCAGGCCCTTCCCTGAGCACAAGCATGAGCATCATGGGAGAATCTTGGCACATCAAACTACTAAGAGTGAGATGAGTTGAAACAGTGAGGATTGTTGCTTTTGCAGAATACTTTATTTAATCATTCTGATTCCATGCAGTGAGACCTGAGGGGTCTGTTTGCTGCAATAGCATTGGTATCTTCATGGCCAGTTGCAGCAGGAGCAGCTGGTATCAAAGATGAGGCCTTCCTGGCAGCTCTGCACAAAGGTTTCACCATTGATGCAGTTGTAGAAGTTCCTCTTGTTGGTTGGATCTGCATAGACTCCGTTGGCCTTGCCAGCACAGAAACCACTCCCACCAGAGCCACCAGTATCGCCACCTGAGCCCCCACTTCCACCTCCGTGGTTAGGAGCCTCAGTGACTGGAGGATTGGGCTGAGCTGGAGGCACACAGTCTGAAACAAAAGCAGGCAAGGGCTCATTTCTGTGCTGACAGTCTCTCGGCCCTTCCCTCCCTCCACGAGCCCTGTAGTGGTGGGGTCAGCTATCAAAGTGTGTTCCCCCAAAGTCTGGCCTGGCTTGCACTAGGCCTTTGAAACATCTGGACCCAGGTCCAAGTTACAATCTCCCCCTTTTATCCTGGGGGATGGTGAGTGAAGGGATCTTTCCAGGGCAACCCCTAGTTGTGGCTTCCACAGCAAGTCTTTATCCACTAAGGCTCCCGAGCTGAAGCTTTGTGGGTCCCTGAAGCCCCGCATCAGCAGCAAGCTAGGGAGTCACCGTCAAGAAGCACACACTACTCGAGCTACTCACCACCATTTTGCAGACCAAGACCGTTCTTCAGGGTGGTGATCAGGGGATATTTGCCTTCCTTGCAGAAAGTGCCAGTGAAGTCATCCATATCAAGGGCCCAAACCATAGCACCTCCAAAGTTGTTCTTCTTCAGCCAGTCAACCTGTTCAGCACGGGGGGGAGAAATCCCAATTAGGCCTGGGTCCTGCTACGGCCAAAGGCCTCCTGCCTTCTTATTAGCATGGCCACACATCCCACCATACCTTGATGTTGAAGCTCTTGATGTTGTCATAGCCAACCCACTCGTTGCCTTTGTAAGCGTAGGGCACGTCCTGGGGAGCATCCCAAGCCTGGGTGGCTCCAGAGTCCAGGAATGTGCAGATCTAGCAAAAAAAGGAAGAGAGGGAGAAGTTAGCAAGTCTCTGACAAAAAAGGGCAGTTGGCATATTCCGTGGGTCCATGGGTTAATAATTCCTTGCTGGGTAGTTTGATGGGTGTTTGTGTTCTTGATGGCCTAGGTATGTAGGCGCGCACATACCTCGTAGTAAGCCAAGAATCCAGCCTGCCTTGTGTAAGGTCCAGCTGGCCCAGGTCCTGTTGCTGGTGCCCCAACAGCTGTGTCAGCTGGGTTTTGGAGGTTGAAGTTATGTCCATAGGTTGGGAATCCAACAAGGAGCTTCTCAGCAGGGGCACCATTGCTCTTCCAATAGTTCATGGCATAATCCTGTAAAAAACCCACCACAGTTCAAGTCTGTGCCAGGATGTTAGGCAGCAGGATGACTCCTTAAACTTATGATCACTGACGAGATGATAATCATCTGTGCAGAGTCTTGCAAAATAAACTCACAACATTGAAGTAGATGAGGTCACCAGTGTCAGCTGGGCCTTTGTACAGAGGGCTGTTCTCCCCAGTGTTTCTGTCCCAGGAGCCGTGGAAGTCGTAGGTCATCACATGGAAGTAGTCCAGGTACCTGTGGAGAACATTGTGCATGTCTGTCTCCTGGTCTGCCCTTCCCCACCAAACAAGCACCACTCTCATGGCATTCTTGCCTTATGCAGAAGAGTAGGGACCCTCTCACACTGAGGTTGGTTTCTGCCAGATAATGGCAGAGGTTCCCTTAACCACCTGAAGGAAGACCACTTCAGTCACAGAAATGGTACCGGAGGGTTTGCTACTCACTTTCCAAGCTCAGGAATCTGGTAGCCAGCCTGAATGGTAGAAAGTCCTGCAGCAACGGCCGCGGTGAGCATGAGACGGGGCTTGTTGACCTGTTTGGCTTCCTGCTCAAAGGCTGCCAGCATTTCCTGAGGGATGCCAAGAATCAGCTCTCACCAGGGAGTCTCTGGGCTGAGGCTTTTCAGCCAGAGCTGTGCAGAGCAGAGGGCTTGACCAAAGCCTTTTGTTTCAACCTACCTTAACCAGGACAGTAAAAAGAGTCTTGTCCTGGGATGGGCTGCCCCTGGACCCAGGGTATTCCCAGTCAATGTCCAGCCCATCAAACTGGTACTGGCGCAGGAATTTGATGACGGACTTGATGAAGGTCTGTCGGTTCTCGGGAGTGGAGACCATTGTGGAGAACCTAGGGAAGCAGATCAGGACAGGGTTGGGTTTGGGTTGGTGCCTCTTCCCCCATCTCCCCCCCTTCCCAGGGTGCTGTCACAGGAAGGAGATTGCTTGAACTCACTTGGCTGTCCCAAAATTCCATCCTCCAATCGCCAGGAGGGTCTTCAGTTTTCCATTTCTGCAAAGGGAGGAACAGGAAGATATTTCACTACAAGGAATGGTTTAGTCTTACCAATTTCTAAGATTACACAACAGACGAACGTAAGGGACAGTGCTCTTGTTTTTCTGGAAAGATTCTGGTGTAGCTGCTTTTGTAGGCTGTGATCTCTTGCTGTGAAACCAGAAGAGCAAGGCAAGAGCCCACTCTGTCGCTGTCACCATCCTCAAAGGACCGGTGCTGGCAGCCTGTGCTGCCCTGCCCTCCCTTCCCCTCGCCATCACTCTCTGCCTCTTCTCCTTGGCCTCCCTGAACTGTGGATTGCTCTGCCATTGTGTGGAGAACAGATGCTGAATAACGGGGTAGGACCTGAAGGGGAGACCAAGTGATGCCCATTGGTCTGGGTACGTACTTGTTCTTCAAGCCGTTGAAGGATTTGTAAAGGGTCTCATCGTTCCATTCGTAAGTTGTGATCTCGTTGTTGGACATGCCAGCAAAGGCGTAGATCAGATGGTCACACAGGCACGGGTCAATGTTGTCAGGCATGAATTTTCCCAGGCCAGGCCTATATTGGGCCCAGTTGGTGAAGTAACATGACAGCACATAGGCAGTGCCTGCAGAGAAATAGAGGAGATGTGGTGGGGTAGATTTGGACTACACGGAAGAGATACTAGTAACTTTGGGCAGAGTATCATAACTAGGTTGAATGAGAAACAATTGCACAGTGTTTGCTTGCAGGGTAGGGAGTTCAGGGAAAGTGAAGTAGTGTTGGTTTTCCCTCTCAGAAGTGGCTCTTCAAGGATAAGAATGGATTTCTTTCCTTCCTACTTTGTTTCAGGAGATGAGTTGGTCTCAGGGCCTCTTTCACCCTTAAACTCATGAATAAGGGTGGTTCTGAGTGCTGGGTCTCTTCCCCAAACAGAATCTTTCTCATTGCTGCCATGTAAGGCAGGAGAGAGGCAGCGGGATCTCTGGTGAAGTGCCTGGAAGGAGGAAGGCTCTTTGAGTGTTTGCTGTGCTGCCTGTTTGACCTGCCTTTGAAAGCTTCTTTGTAGAAGACCAAGCTTGTTGCTGCACTCACGCTTCATTCAAGCTGAGCAGGAAGGGGCTGCTATGAGGAAGCTTGCATGAAAGAAAGCAACATATTTGCACTTTAGATTGAGCAAGCCGTGCTTTGTCAGGCTTTTGTCTTCAGAAACAACATTGCTGTGTGCCTGCCTGCCTCTCCTTCCTCCCCCATGACTTGTATAAGAATTAGCTAGTGAGTCTGTTCCAGTTGCCCGTGTGCGCTGTAACGGGGAAGGGTTTGGTAGAGTTGTTTTGGGGTAGAAAGCACATACCTATCTGGGCGTTCAGCAGGAGGACCAGAGCTTTAAAGAAAAAAGTGTGGGATTAGTCTTAGATGTAAGAAATAAGGTAATGTCTGAATTAGCAGAAACTCTATGGTATATATCCTGTAATGCAGATAATAAAATTGCTTCTATCAGTGTGTCTATTCTTGCTCCACTTCATAAGGATCTGTCTGAACCCAAAATTTTCTGTCTCCTAGGTGCCAGTTCATTCTGATTAAAGGAGACACACAGAGGAGCTCATGGCCATTAACGGCTCGATGTTCTGCTGCTTCTTTCAGCTCAGCGTTCTTGATGCCTATAACACAGCTGAAATAGCAGAAGTCTCTTGGAATATACTCTGCTATGCGGACAGTATATAGTCTTTCTATTGGAATGACCAGTTTTCCTCCTCAGAGTGCAATTTTTTGGTCCAAGATTATTTTTCTATTCAATAAAGCAATTAAATCAAGAATTGGCATATCTGAAGAAAAAAAATCAACTCAAATATTATTGCAACATCTAATCATGCTGTAAGTAACTTCTATAATTTTTCCTTTGACAGAAGGGAGTACAGCATCTTTAATCCCCAAAAATCTCCTGTATAGCCACCCCGTATAAGAGCAAAAGAGCCACAGATACTCAAAGGTTGAGAAATAAGTTTTGAAGTGGGACTTACCGGTAAGCAAAGCGAGCTTGGCCATCTTTGACCAGGACTGACGTGGTGCAGACCAACTTCCACTTTTATATGCTCCTCTCATGTGATGCCAGTCTTGTATAAACAAAGAAGCACAAACATTACAAAAGTTGGTAAAGATCAGTATCACCAGAAAATGATACCAGTACAATGGGCCTTAACACTCCAGCTGGAAACACCACTATTATCAGGCTGTGCCGTGTCGTGGTGCTGTGAGAGTTGTTGAAGAACAAGATTAGATGGCTTTTATTCCTAGAAATGTTGTTTACAGCGACAGGCTTTGTATCAACAGTGGCGATTACGCAGTGATAGATGGCTGAAGCGTTCAACCTTGTGCTGTCCTTGTGTCTGCCCAGCGGTGGTAGGCGCTGCCAAACCAAAGGTGGTTTACAAGGGTTTTGTCTCCGTGGCTGGGGCAGTCAGCGAGGTGGGACTGAGTAGGGCTTAGGCTCACAGCAGTGGGCTTTTGGGGGGACACAGGGACTGGGCTCACTTGGCGTAGGCAAACTGCCTGTCGGGATGTAGGCACTCTGTGATCTGAAGTGTCTCTTGCCCACACCATCTGAGCTTCTTGTCAGTTCATGGAAGTGGAGAGGGCTTCCTGGTGTCCCATAAGCACAGTGAATCAGAATCAGCTGAGTTCTTCTCCCACTTGTTCTTGGTGATGACTGTTGTCTGGAAATGAGAAAAAGAAGTGGAGAAGAGTGCTTTAACAAGTGTTTTTAAACGACTGGTGTACTGCTGGCCCAGAGAGTGGATGCTTAGCCACGTAATGAACAAATGTGATAGTGCCTTGGCAAGATAATTTTCTTCAGGGAGAAGCATTATTTCTTGGAGGTCAAGCTCTATGAGAGAGAGCCCAGGGAGAGAGCTTCATGCAGGCTGCACTTGCTCTCGCACTTACTCCCTCCTATTTTTTAAAAAAGCAGTGTATCTGTTTTAGCTGAAATGTCTTGCTTAAGCATATCTGAATGGAATTTTTGAAAAGGCAGTTACAGGTGCTGAAACTGATGGTTTTATCTCAAAATATTCTTTCTTTTTCTTTGCTTCATCTTCAGTCCAGGTGAAGACTCAAAGCTCTTACTGTCTTCAAGGAGTTACGTGGTTTCTCTCCTTTTGCACACCAGGCACTGTAAGGGCTAGTGCAAAGGTTGGAGTAAGACACAGCCCTCACGCGGCCAGTTGTTCTTCACGGAGACACTTAATTCCTGTATAGATGATGTGAAGGTGAATTTCCAGAAGGTCACCCAGACTTAGTTGAACGGGAGCCTGGAAAACAGCCTCAAAGTTGCCAGTACCACACGCTGGCACTGAAGTCACTGACCTGCAGATTAAAATGCACTAGACTGACCCTTCAGGTTTTGTACCTGCACCGGGTGAGATATGGCAGATAATGAAAGAGATAACCCTCTTCAAGGAGTATTTTTCCAGTGTGTTTCTTGGTTGATAAAGTAACCCAGTACAAACTCAACGGGAATAGATTTGGAAAATCCTACCCTCAGTGACCTCTGGAGCCTTGCAGGTCTGGTACCTGTAGAAGGGTGTTTTGTTGTGAGAAGGAAAGCATTTGGGGAAGGATGAAGGACGCCAATTTGTCTGCATGTGGTGGCACCAACTGTCAGTTGGTCAAACCCTGGCGTTTCTCCTCAGTTTTCCTGCCTTCAAAAAGAGTTGAGTATGCAGACAGAGACCGTGCACATTATTCCAGTAGCTGAGGTGCTAGGTTTCAGAGAGGTCCACCAATCTGGATTGTTTCTGCTTTAGCTTCACTCCAGGCACCGACTACGATTGTCATTATTCTGATTGTGTGACAATGTTAGGAGTAAGTCCGTCTGCCCTTCAACTGCCGGGGCTCTTTTCTGACGGGTCATGGAAAGGAGACCCACGTGTTCGTGGTGACTCCAGCTGAGCAGTGCCGATGTGTTCCTTCCCTGGTGCGGACCTCCAGGATGGTTCCTTAAGCTTTCTCACCTTTTCAGGCCCAGAGGTTTGTCAGTCAGGCATGGCCTGACTTGCACAGCCTTGCGGCCATGTCCAGTGGGATGTGTGTCTGACAACTGCCTCTCAGCAAACTCACTAAAAGCTGTGTTTTTCCCCAAAGACCTTGGCCATGCTGGCCCTGCTAAGCTCAGCGTATATGAGCCATTGCTTTTGAGAGCTTGTTTGTTCCCCTGCCCTTGCTATGGAGATTCGGCAAGTCACTGTGGGAGGCTAAACTGGGGAGAAATGTAAAGGTCAATGTGATGACGCCGTGTGCTTTGGAGAGCCCTGTCCTGACCCTTATCTGGATGCAGAGGTACGGGCCTCGGTCTCCTGGTACAGGGAGATCAGAGCTGACAGCCGATACGGGCGTTTGTGCTGGTGGCAGCGTTACACCAGCCAAGGTTCACGTTAGCAATGCAGAGACACATATTAGGTAGACGAGCCCTTGGCTAGGTGTAAACTAGGATCCAGCTTTTGGATTTCCGTGTAAAGCGAGGCTGTAGAGATGCTTAAATGCATTCTGGAATTATTTTTTGGATCTGAGAAGCTCTGTGATTTTGCCTATAAAAACCTGGGGAGAGCTATTCCTGGTTTTGGCTGCTGATCTGATGTTCCTCTCTGCAGGCAGATAACTTATTACCACCATGGAGACAATCTGTTGCCAGTATGCTTTTTCTTATTGTGGAGTGGTGTTCTTGGAAATTCCTTGGGAATTTTCCTATGGGAATATACCCCAGATATGTCTGCATATATGTATATATGTATAGCCTATGTTGAGAGTAGCAGGGAAAAGCAATATTTCTCAGAATAATATAGATTGCCATAGGAGCAAGTATGGGAATTTCTGCCTTCTATATTGTCAGATTTTTTCTCTTTAATGGTAGTTACTTTTCTAATTCTGGAACCTTTTTCTCTCATCTTTTTTTTACAAATTGTTACTATGAACAATGATTAGTTATTCACAATTGTGGAAAGTTCATTGAAGCTAATGTGCTGCAAGCTTCCGAGGAGGAAAAATGTTTGGAGGGAAGACATAGAGGTAAGCTCTTTCTGCTAGCTTGCTAAATTCTTCCTTCATCTCTTGGCAGAGTTATTTCATCCTATGCTTAAATTCTTTTTAATGGGCTGGAAAAGAATTACTGTGCATGAAGAAAATCATGATGATTAACTTTTTAGTGCAAAGCATTTTAAGGGTGTTAAATATGATCTGGAATTATGGTAAAATGTGATAAACTCTTCCTCTCAAACCTGTGCTTTATACTTGGTTGGGTACTGCTTTCTGATATGCTCTGAGATGTCTATAGGGGAAACTCATTTCTTTATGAGCTAGAAGGGTTGAATCTCCTGAGAAATCAGAATGAACTTTCTCACTTAGTATACAGTACAGCCTTGTCTGAGACTAGCATCGTTAGTTTTCAGCTCCTTCATTTCTATCAGCTAGCCTCATAAAAAACTCTTGCTCCCAAAGAATCATCTAATTCCATTAATTAAATGAAGGAATAAATTGCATTTAAGGAAGAAGTTACCCTGCACATGCAGCTTCTCGATTTGAAAGTAGGTGCACCTTGAAGCAGTGCAGGAGGCAAAATAAAAGCAAAATAAAAATATTAGAATTAGTTTTAACTAAGGAGAGCGTCTTCTTCCTGCTTTACAAGAATCGTGGAGTCAGTGGCTGCGTACTATCAGCAATTAAAATATCCAACAGTAGGTGTCAATGTTGCTTGCTCTTCACAACCGTGTAGCTGGAGTGCTTTTCTAGCAGTCTCCTGATAACATGTCAAGAAGAAATGTGCTTGCAGGCCAGAAAGCTTAGTTGCTGCTCCACTTTGTTTAATCACAAATAGAGTTCTGAGATTAACAGGACATTTTTTTTGCACTTTCAAATAGAAATTGAATGCTTCATTCTTCTGTAGAAAACTAATGAGGATAGAGGCTAAACTTTGTTCAGTTCATTTCTCCAGAGCTGTATAACCTACATAAGGCATGACCATCTTAGAGTGAAAGAGGAGCTATTAAAGACATCTGTCCAAAACTAGTCCAGTCTTGCAACATGACAGGATGCCTATTAAGACGTTAGTAATTTTGTTGATATGTCCAGGAATCACATCCCCTATAAAAAGAGCATCCCAGTGCCTTGGCAGGGTACTGATAAATCTATGCTTTTTGGCTATCTCAAATGTTTAAGTTACATGTTTATGTCTCCTAACAAAGAATTTTGGCCTCACCTTCTGTCTCTTCTGCCTTTCCTTACCAGCACAGTAAGTATTTATTGCAAGGGAAAATGGGCTTGAGAAGCTAGTTTAAAGACAGAAATTTAGTTTCCCTGGGTCCATGTTATGTGTGTGCAGTCTTATTAGAGTAGCCTTGGGTGAAGCAGACCTAAATTGCGTGTGGCCTTGGCATATGTCCCTTATTAATCTGCTACGAAAAGGAGATTCTGAACCATCTCTGATGTGCTTATGGTTTCCAAACATTTCCTTTCTATTGGCCACTTTTTTGCTGTGGAGCAAACCCTGCTTTTCACACTGGCAAAACATGAGACAAAGCAGTCACACCAGATTATTCACTCCAGTGGTAAATGTTACATCCTGACAGCAGTTCAGCAGGTTCTCCTAACAACTGTCTGGGTTTGCTCAAAGCTTTTTATATTTGATAAGCATTTTATCATGAAGATCAGAGAAATCTTATCTACTCCTTCCTGGCAAACTACTTCTAAAAGCAACCATCTCCATACTGGACATAGTAAGCAGCTTCAGACTCCTACCCAGTGCTTGATCCTTCTGGAGTTCAGCTCATGCTCCAGGGCCTGTAAAAGAGAATGTACTTCCAATGCCAGCACATGTCAATGGCCTATACCATGGCCCTGCCTAAACTGTGCTGTGTCAAACATCAAACCTTTGGGAGCAGCAAAAAGCAAGCAGAACAGAATCAACACCTTTATACATAAATGCCTGTAGCAAGAAGTAATCCTCTATTTTCACTTTGCTAAAAGTGAGAGAGCTTTTTGTCACGATCAGGACAGCTTGACTCAATGGTGGTTTTATTTCTTACCTTTTACCTTGTCTTCTTGGCAAAAGTTTACCCGCTTGACTTGGTTTATAATCTAAGGGAGGAATATCAACGAATCACTGACTACTACTTTGAGTTGTGTTGCTTCCAATGTCCAGTCTGGGAGGTGTTAGGAGATAACCCGTTCTCCTCCTCTTCTTTTGGTTTCTGCTTTAGATAAAGGAATGGGGGAGTTTCTTCATTTCAAAAGTGGGGTGAAAGGTATCAAGAGTCTGGTTGTCCTGGAATGACTGGGAACATCTTTATCTTGCCTTTAATATTCTGCATATCCTGAGGTTGGAGTTGAGCTGGAGGCAGAAGAAAGAATAGATCCTTCAAGCTGAAACTCAAGAGATGCATGGAACATGTTTAAAGAGACCTATCTGGGTCCTCTATCAAGAGCTTTGGTGATATTGCTGGTCTCTCAATGGCTTAACAGCTTTTAATAGCTGAGCTCCATTTGGGGGCTGCTGGTCTTCTTGGAAAACTCCCACTCTCTTCAGGAGTCTGACAGAGAATTAAGAAAATATGGCTGCAGTGTCAGTGGCCAAA